GGCAATACAGCCGTTTTCAGTATGTGCGAGGGGCTTCTACATCTTACCACCTTTCCACTGGTTATGTGGTGTACTGTCTCCTGTGTCATTGGAGCATATTTTACCAGCATTGCTTGTTCAAGTTTGCACAGAGACCTGAGTGGCACCCCAAAGCACAACTATAACTCCCCCTAGGTAGAGGCCACACCACATAATCATATTGTTATCACCAAATGCTGTTTAATTAGCAGAAATGATTTGGAATTGGCAATAGGCTTATTGCACAGATATTGATAAAACAAGCCCACATACTCTTACTTTTCCTGTTAAGTACTAGGGAAAAATTCTTTTGAGATTGCTCATCAACTTAGACTCACACCTGTCTTGCGCTGCTCATATAGATGGTATTGTGGCTAAAATGGGTAAAGGCATTACAATGGTAAAGAAAGGTGTTTCATTCATACCCGCTGCTATTGCTAAACAGGTTGTACAGTCTCTTGTCCTGAGTTATCTGGAGTATTGCCCGGTGATATGGTCATCTGCTTCACAGAGTGAGCTTCACAACCTTCAGCTGGCACAAAACAGGGCGGCCAGAGTGGTCCTTCAGTGCTCACAAAGAACAAATGTGGCGTCATTGCATAGATGGCTTTCATGGTTAACAGTTACCTGTAAACTTAAATTAAGACTTCTGCTATTTATATGGAATGTTTTATTTAAAAAACAGCCTTCATTTTTTGCTGAACATTTAGACCTTCTTGAAACAAAGTCATAATTATTTAACCTGGCGGGCACTAGGTGGAGACATTAAACTCCCTCGACCCAGAACAAACTATCTAAAATCCACAGTGCATTATAGAGCCATTTGTCACTGGAACCAACTGCCAATAACCACACGAAGAGTCCAGAACAGAACATGCTTCAAAAAGATACTGTCTTCAGAACTACTGCAGATGACAAGATGAACTGACCTGTGTATTTATGTTGTATATTTCTACTCTTTTTCATGTTCCTATTATTTCCTAATGTGCAACTTGTGCAGTTTTCTTAATGGTTTGTTATTAATTTAATGTAATTTCTTTATATGAGGACCCCAGGAATATTAGTGGCCATTTATTTGGCAGCTAATGGGGATCCTAATAAAACTAAACTTATTACTTTTTTGCAATATGTAAAGCCTAGTATTAACTTTTGAGAGCTTATACTTTTAAACTTCCATGCAAAGAATAGGCCAACGTTTTCAGTTATTTTTTTTTCCATTTTTCCTGCAGTCCTAAATTGGGACAAAAATCCCTGCCTCTATGTTCACTCCCATGCTTGGCACGTGTGTGAGTTGTTCTCAGCCTGGGTCTGAGGTCAGACAGCTCTCTTTGGTGAAAAAGTGACCAATTTAGCTGAAAATGCTAATTCTAGCTCATTGGCAAAATGCATGCATGTGTACAGGTTTCCTTAAAGGGACAAATTGACAAATTTGTGTGCTGCCTCCCACCACCGTTCCCAGATTTCACTGATTAATCAAGTGAATAAAAACCAGGTCTTAATTAAAAGGATCTCAACGTGCTCCTTGCTCAGAAACTGGCAGACCCCCGTAGTCCGGCTCCACAAACAAACTCTCAGAATGAATGGCCACAGGAGAAAAGGTAAATAATTCACCGTAATGAGGGGATTTAGCAATAATAACAACTGGCATATGCTGTCAAAATGAGGTGAAATAAGACCTCTCTTTGAAACAGAACGCGTACATAAAAGTGGAACTTTAATCACATAAGCAAGTACATGAAGTAGCTTTATTGGAGAAAACCAAAACAAACAGTTTGTTTGAAACCTCAGAGTCTGCCCTTGACTGGATGCCATGTTTTGGGACCTCAGTGTCAGTACTTTAATTTTCTTAAGTAACATTAAGTAAGTGGCCTCAAAATTCAAGAATTATGATACTGGGTGAGACTATGAATGTGTGTAGGGTAACCATTACAGTAATATGAAGTGTAGAAGCTAAACATTAATCATTGGGATTAAACCTCCAGTTCTCTCAGCTTTAAGCTGCGCGAGTTCAACAGAAAGAAATGTGACTTTGGTGGAAAAGATGGCAGAAACTGGCACCCTGATGCTAGATCTGTAAAATTTTATCAATTCTTTTAGTCCAAAACTCTGCATCATTTCAGCCAATACACCTTTAGATTTCAGAATATTGCACAAATGTATTGATACCCCTTTATTTTTCACACTTTGCAACTTTCCATCCACAAAACAACAAATCTCTTACATTTTCCTAACTTTTCTTGCAGGACTGGCCTGCAGTCAGCTCTGGTCACCTTCCACATGTGCACCATCTCCCTTTAAGCAAGACGTATTTTGTTTTTCTTACAACAGTAGATTCCTTCTTGAAACTCACAATTCACCCTGATGCACCACTTTGTCCTGGCCTATCATATCAGCTCTCTTTAAAATATGTTACAGTTGGTTCCAAGAGCAAAATATGGAAAAGCTCAAGGATTCTAAACACAGATGCGTCTAATATAATAGTTGAATATCTGAGAAGGTCAATATTTTTTGTGCCTAATTTCTGAAGAGGAAACTTATTTATTCTATATATTCATTAAACATGGTAAACTATCTCTGTATAGTATGTCTGTTTTATATGTTGATATGATTTATTGCATGTTGATGGCTAATGCTTAAAGATTCTAAAAATCGAAAGTTTCGTTTTAGGATCAGTTTGAAAAACTGTTTAAGCGGACACCAGGTTTTTAAAAAGTATGCATTTATTTCTAAATAAAATGGGATTAGAATCTCAGAATAAAATTCAAAACTTCTTCTCATCTAGGAATGAAACCTTGGACCACTTAGAAAAAACCCAGTTATATCCTTATTAGGGGTAGAACGGTTCACAAAATCCACGGTTCGGTTCGGTTCACGGTTTCGTGGTCACGGTTTATGTTGATTGTTAGCCTGACATGTTGGTCGTGTTGCTGTTAGCATAAACAAAACGTGTTGCACAATGCTTGCACACTGTTGCACTTTTATCCACAACTTTCTTTTCGCCGTCATCGTAGGTCACTCTAAATGCTAAGTGGTCTCATACAGCAGACCTATAAAGTGCTGCTGGCGCGTCTTCCAACTCCTGTTCTTTCCCACTTGCCATACCCACACAATTCTCCACAACAACTGATTTTTTTTCTGCTACACCCGGCTAAGCTGCTTTGCTTCTTCTTCTTCTTGTTTACTACTGGTGGTTGGCTTTGGTCGCATTACCGCCACCTTCTGCTCTGGAGTGTACACGCTTCGCCTATGAGAAAAAGGAGCCGCGCATGAACCGAACGAAACACACGCGAATCGAACCAAGACAGACGGTTTGGACGGTTTTCATAAACTGCTTCCATCCCTAATCCTTATATGTTCATGTTAGACCCTTCTCTGTGTTACTCCGGTTGCTGTAAGTTTTCCTTCCACTCAACTTTCTATGAAACTGAACAATCAGCTGCTAAGCAAAGACCTTTATAGCCTACACTCCTTTTAGAGGAAGTCAGTGCTTGTCTTTTAGATTTACAAAGTTAGTACTCATCCTCATGATCGTGAACTATAGTAAAATTGTCATATCTCTAAGCCATAACCATAAAAACCAGAAATACAACACCTAGATATATTTTACTTTGTGTGTATTAAAATCTGTTTCTGAAATAAGTGACAAAATCTCTTAGACTTTTTCAAGATATTCTAATTTGTTTTCAGCTCTAGCTGTACTTTTCTAGGGTACTTTGTTGCCATTTGGTGAAAAAAAACAGAATAAATAAAGTACAATCAGCAGAGAGTCAGGACAAACTCTGAGTAATAGTCCTCAGATTAAGTGATCAGCTAAAATACCCACTCAGACCATCCAGAGTCTCCAAGTGGAAACCTTCTTTACTTTATCTGACTCTAAAAGGAGGCTTCACACGCCCACAAAGACACACCGACACACACAGTAAACAGAGCACGGACTTCAATTAAAGTCCCATTAAAGTTTAGCCTGAAAGGGGGGATGGACTCTGGGAGGCAGAGAGGGGCATTTATTGATGGCGCCCTCACATCTCGTTCCTGCATTAAGTTGATTTTAAAAGCAATTAATACACACGGTCAGGGAAAAGTAATGGAGCGCCCCGCGTTCTTAACCTGCCGGACGTCTCCCATCCAAAGCCCTGACCAACGCAGCCCTACTTTGCATTATAAATGACAAGACAAATCCTAATGGATTGAGGATAATCAGCTAGCCATGAAGGTTGACATATACATACACACAAACATAGAGTTGACAGGCATACTACCTCTACCTTACACTCACACACACATATGTATGCACAAACAGACATACAGACACCAGGGAAATTAAAGGCTTTGAATATGTCTGCATTGATTATTTTAAATTATTAGCCCACCTCTCTTTGGACCTCCAATGCTTTTAGCCTAAGCTTTAACACATTTACAGAGACTTATTGACTATAATTACAACTGAGTCTTGGTAATGGACACATCAATTATGAGTCGCACATGTCTCTGACCAAGCGTTGCTCAGGAAATCCCAATCTGGGGTCCATTAGCGTCTCTCCTGTTTGTTTGAAGCTCAATCAGTCTTTACCTTCACCTCTACAGAAAGAGCTATTACCTGGCTGAGGTAGATAGCGGCCTTAACAATAGCTCGGGTTGCCACTGATGAGCCTGTATCTCCAAACTTTAATGCTGTTGCATCTAAAAAAAAAAGATCTAACAGCTAAAGACTCTATAAAAGAGATAACTGCTTTGAGATATTCAGGAAAACGTATCACAGCTAAATGCTCACAAGACTTTCAAAGAGCAGCCTACCAAATCTGTATCAGTTACAAGAGGTTTTAATAATGTATGCAGCCGCAAAGTGGTGAATTTGTAATAATGCATATGTAATGATGTGTTCAAATCATTCATCTTAACCATGTGTTACTGCTAATAATATGTATATTTTGAAAACATGTCCAGAGTAGAAGTGAGTGAGTACGTGGAGGTGAGCTACTTACCAGTGTGCGTGCGAATATGTGCCAGGAAAGCCATGGAGTTGCTGCTCTTGCACACCTTGCCGCAGTATTTGCACACACTGCCTTGATTCTCCTCACGCTCGCGGTTGATCTGCTCCGTGTCCTCCAGCACATACTTGTTGACCTCCCTGAGGAGTTCCTCGTGTTTCTCTTTGATGTGGACAAACAAGTCCTGCTCTGTCTCGAAGCGGTCAGTGCACTTGACGCACTTAAAGCTTGCGCCCCCCTCAGGAAGCTCCTCCACGCTGTTCTGCTCATTGCGGAGATGGGCGGCGCTGGAGAGGTGCTGGTGCAGGTTGCTTTCGGTGTAGAAGGATTTGCCGCACACCAGGCAGTGGAAGTGCCTCTCCTTGGAGGGGTGCTTCATGGAGATGTGGACGTTGAGGCCGCTGAGCCCGTCCGCCATGAACCCGCAGTCCTCGCAGCGTATGCGAGAGCTGCTGCCTTTTGCTTCGTCCCTCACCTTCCCTTCCTTGGGTTTTAACTTTCGAACATATGAAGAGCTTGGGGACATACTGCTAGATATTGATCCCCCAGTCAAACATATGACAGAGGCTTCGCCTTCCAATGCCAGACCCTCCAGTGTTGCTACCTCCTGCCCTGTAAGGGCTTTGAAAGATACAATACTGGCATCAAATGGAGGGGCTTTAGACATCTGTGTATCAACAACCACTGTATCATCAGTCTCTTTTTCTGCTTGGGTAGACCCTATGTTCTGGTTTTCTTGATATTTGGACTCATCTAATGGTAGTTGAAGTTCTGCTGAAGTCTGCACCGTCATGTCAGCTGTCTGGTTTGTAAAATCTGTTTTATTGACAGTAGATGATGTTTCAGTTGTTGCTTGCTTTAAATCTCTACCCACAGTTTCACCAACCACGACACGAATAATGTCTGTAGTGACAGACAACGCAGCTGAGTTGTGTACATCCTCACAGGGACTTTCACTAACAGGTCCAGACACATCTGAGTCTGGGTTTGATTTCTGTCCAGCAGGATAGTTGATCTTGGCCTCCTTTAAAGAAAGGTTGTCAGTTCTTGGTTCTTTGGCCTTTTGATATTCCAGGTATCTTTGACTGTTTTGTTTATGTTTCTCTGTGCTAGCATGGCGAGCCATCTCCCTACTGGTTATAGCAAAATAGCTGCAGGCTAAACAAACATACTCAAACTCTTTTGTATGCTTTCTCTTGACATGAAGATGGAGGGATGGGACTGATTGGGTGACAAAATCACAAAGACTACAAGCATTAACTAAGTCATGGCTGTTTTTTTGCTGGCTAATGTCTGACTCAGTTGGTTCTTCATCTTTCTCTTCTATAAGAGGTTCTCTGTCCTGTTCTTGGGTTGTGTCAGCATCCTGTAAGACAGCACCTGGTGTACTGGTTATCTCCAGCAGTGGTGCACTGGTGTTGGCCTCTGCTGTGGTCTTATTTGAACTCTCTTGTGCTCTTTTCACATGTTTCTTTGTAAAGCAGTGACGGTCCATATCTCCCTTAGTTACACAGTGGTAGTTGCACAAATTGCAGCTGTAGCCATAATCTTTGCTATGTTTACGGCGAATATGAACACTGAGATTGGTGGCGTTGGACACAACCAAACCACAGTATCCACAAGTGGTAGTACCACCTTGTTTCGGTCTTCCTCTTTTCTTTCTGGGAGGTTCCAACTCTGAGTCTTCCTCATCAGTTTGAACAGAAACCTCAGTTTCAGCTGTCTCTGACAGCTCGTTGGTTTCCTGTTGTTCTTCGGTCGAATTAGCCGTTCCTTCTCCAGCAACCACTTGATTGAGGCGACCGACGGAAACGTCATCTTCCACACAGTCTCTTGTAACTTTCTCAACACAATGTTCAAATGAAGAAGCTTTAGAGCTTTTCTCTCCTTTTTGTTTTTCCAAATGGCCATCTGACGACAGATGGACATTCATCCACTCTGAAGTTGCTGCAATGACGTTGCACACTTTGCAGCGGAACCACTCTTGAGTAGGGTGCTTATCCCGAGTGTGCTTTTCAAGCGCAGCAACATTACCCACCCTGAAATCGCAGATTGGACACTTCACCTGGAACCGACTGAGAACACGTTTTGGTGCTACTTTTGGTGACGCAGTTTTTTCAGTGCTGCCGCTCCCAACGGTTTCGTCCAGTTCCCCCATGTTTCCATCTAATTCAACTGAAAAGACACAAATATCCTTTACTTAGTTTTTCAAATGTAAGCAAGACAAATTGTTATGACCAGTGACTAATATAAATATTTTATAAATCTAAAAGCAGAATTCACATAAATGACTGAGGACAAAAAATGCTTTCAAGAATGAAATTATCAAAAGTGAACAGAAACTAGAGAAATACTTACAAGTTAAAGGGACATCTTTGGCATGGTATCTCTGAATGTGAATATCAAGAGGAGATTTGTCCCTAAATTCATGTCCACAGTAGTTGCAGGAATAAATAATCTTAGGTTTTGGAGTCCTCTTGCTTAATCTTCTTTCTTGGGCAGTGCTCGGCTCATCTTGTTCTAGACTGTGGTTTTGTTCCCCATCTTCTTCTTCTGTCTTTATGGTGGATTCCTCTCTTAATTCTCCAACATTGAGAATATTTTCCTTTTGTTCATGAGCTCGAGGATCCTTATCAATTACTTTCCCATGTTTTCGCGTGTAATGAATTTTCAGTGATCTTGGGTACATGGTTGTGAAGCCACAAACTTTGCAAACATTCTCCTCATTCTCACATCCAGTGTCAGACAATGGCCTATCCGCTCCTTCCTCTCCTGCCTTATCGAGCTCGGGAGCACAACCAGGAGAGACCCCCGTGGCTTCCTCCATCTCCGTGTCAGCTTGCGACACCTTTACAGAGTCATTTTCAGCCAATTTGCTCTCAACATTTCCCTCCTCTAATACCAGTGGTTTATCCATATCATATCCTTATAATGTGAAATCCAGCGGTATCATCAAAACCACATCAAAACCCTGAGGGAAAACAAATAAAGAAATACAACATATTTATATGCATCTTCAACATATTGCTGTATAACAGCTGATATTAGACCCCTAAGCCCTCAGAATGATATTATGCGGCCCGAGTCTGCAGTTTACCAATGGTACAAATTTCCACGACAAGCAGTGGCTGTTTATGTATCCCAGGAGGAACTCCTAAGGAAAGATTGACCATTCTGTTTTTTGCTGCTGATGTAAGCTGACACTAAAATTTCCGAAATTATATGCAATGGTATGAGGGACTTTACAAATTTGGGATCAAAGTTCAATTGCATATCTGTTTTTAACAAAATTCCACATAATTTATTTTTTTTTTAAATAAACTTGTCCATGTTTAACGTTTTATTGAGCATGTTGCATTTGAAAAAAATAAATGCAATTATTCTTTGCATTTTATTTAAAGACAAAATAGTAAAGATAACAAAAAAAAATAACCACATTTTTGTGGTCTAGTATTACTTTCTTTTCAACCATGTTTCTCTCTTATTCGAACAAGTTTGGAACCCACTGACCAAGGTTATGTGAATTGGTTCATCTTCCGTTTACTTCTGTCTATGTTTAGATGCCGCCATCTAGTGTTAGAATACACAAACTGCAACCTAAAGCACAGTAGCATAAGTTTTAACCATTACATATTTTCATTAAACGCTCAAAGTAAATCCCTGGCATTTATCTGAGGGAACTAACAAAAGTACATTCTGTAGGTAATCCTCCACAAAGATGGATTTTATTTAAACATCTTTTGAAAAAAATTATGGGATTTTTCAAAGATTTAATCTTTTATGAGATTTTGTTAAAAAAAAAAAATTAACTAAGTAATGTACTTTTAATGGAAAATAAAATAAAACCTTTGTAGAGGTTAATGATATGTGATTTGGAAACAAAAACATCTCCACTCAGTCTCAAACACGTGATCATTAACTTTTTTTCTTCTTTCCAGTTGTCTTGTCAACAGCATTTGTAAATGTGTTTTGTGAAGCACTTTAACTAAAATTTTAAAAATGTGAAACAAACACTTTAACCATACGCTTAGAAAAGCACCTCAACTAAAATATATATTGCTTTAATAATAGACCTGAAGTTATGCTGCTGTTTCAATCATATGTACTTTGATATGAAGTATTAATGTGCAATTTCCATTGTTACCACCTTTGAATATATGCTTTTTTATTAACAAACCCAACCCAGTATGCAGAAACCGTGCTAACTTGTCAATATTAAGGTTGTTCAATGTAAAGAAACACAATTAATGGACAGAAGTCAAAGCACCTGCAGTCATTGTATTGCATCGAGGTCAAGATTTAGGGCTGAAAACTTCTAAAACTCATCCTGTCAAATACGGATTTTTCCTTTTATTTCATTAGTTTTATTTCTATAATTGCACTTTCTAAAATAGCCATCACATTTGATTTATATAACTGCTAACAAACCAATAAATATATTTATATTAATGTCTTTTTCAATTCTAGTTGTAGCAAAGTTTAATTATCTGAATAGCTTGTTTAAAAAAAAAAAAAAAGTGGAATTTTTCTTTTTTTATGAGCATTACCTCGTTTTAATTATCCATCCTTCCAAGGCAAGGCAAGGCAAATGTATTTGTATGGCACAATTCAGTACAAACACAATGCAAAGTGCTTTACATGATTAAGTCACGGTGGGAATATAAATAATTTACATGGTTTTAACTTTAAGCAGGAACTAATGCTACTTTTTAGTATCCACACATTAAGGTCAAGTGAAATGTATTATTTTATTGTATCACTTATTTATTTCAATAAAGATTAGAGCAAAAAAAAACGCCCGTGCAACAGATGTAACAAGGATTTTATACACAAATTAACCTAAAACAAATCTATACTTAGACTGGCTTTTGATCCAGACTTGCCAAATATTTGATAATTTAAAAAAAAACAGTTGACAAAATCACATATATCAAACACACATATCACAGGATGACTGTTATGAGAGGAGATTAATAAACACTGCATATTTAGGTCCCCTGTGCTTTACAAATTAGTGTGAAGAGACGAATTGTTCACTTTTCCTACATAGTGAACAACTTCCTAGACTTACAACAGTAACAGAAAGTCATGTTAAAGTTCGCTGCAAGAGGTCAACCTGCTTGCTTAAACGTTCGCACGGATAAAACTTGTTTAAAACCATTCTGCAAGGTAGCAAACCTCCGCAATAACCCATATAAATTAGCGTAAATTCGTTTTGATTTTCGTGCCGGAGGAATTGTTGCTGCAGCAGGGGTTTGCAGCTAGCTTGCTAACTAGCAACATGTTCCTCTACTGTAATTTAAAAAACGTTCAGCTCGTCCAATTAAATCACTTCTTCGGACAGGACAGCCAATCACAGCGGGGGTAAGGCGGGTGTAAAAAGCCCGAAGGTTTGGAAAACGACGGCAGCAGAGAGGCCCAAAAAGGAGGCTAACGTCGACCTCTGAAATAATCATCTATACAGTTCAAACACCCCGTCAAAACAACGCATATACCTTAAAGTCATCCATCTAGAAGCAGTCTAAGTCAAAAATTATAAACATGATCACAAATCAAGCTGACTTACCCATTATTTTGCGACTGTTTTCACGGTGCGCGCTTTTTTGCTGCTAGACACAAATGGCGTACCGTAGCGTGAGCTGTGCGTCATCGAGCGAGAGGCGGCCTTGTTTTCTGGTCTACGTCAGCTGCTTAGACTGCATGGTGCATTAAAGTACCGTAGGAAAATTGAAGATACGGAAGTTAAACTCTTTTTAAGGGGCTTAGTATCATCAACATATTAATAGTGATTGACAGACAAAAAAATATCTGGAAGACATTGTTCAGTTTTATCTACACAGTGCTGAAACATTAAGAACTTTAACGCTTAGTGCTTTTTCTTCAACAAAATATTTATGTACTTATCTGAGGAATACAATACAAACATTTAAAAAATATTTAATATGACAAATTTCTTTTAAACAACTTCGATTAACCTTATTTAACCATTATTTATATTATTACAATTAGTGAAAAAATGTTGCTAAGTAAATGTTTTCTGTAAAAAAAAACATGAATTCCTTTAATCTAGGGCTGCACCTAACAATAATTTTGCAAATCGATTAAGTAATTGATTAATCATTAAATGGAGTATAGAGACTCAAAAGTATGTCTTTAGCTGACAGAGCAATCAATTTTGAGCAGTAATTATACCAATATTGTTTAAAAAAAAGTATGTAAACATTTTGCATTTAAGATTAAAAAACCTTTTCAGTCTATCAATATGTTCAATCCAGATCTTACAAGTGGAAACATTTTAGTTTCAAATGGTTTCATTTCATGAAAAATCTTCTTTGAGGAACATTTTGGTTGTCCGATTATTATTCAAAAAAATTAACGACAGATTAATCGATTTGCAGCCCTAGTTATTTTCTTTTATGTATATTTGTCACGTTTGAATAAAACTATTGATAATAGTATGTTACAATCTTAATATATTGTTTCTCACTAATATTAACAAAGTGAATAAATGTGATGGCTTAGGCCAGGAGGGAGGTACAATGGGTATTTTAGGATCATGCCTTAAGAAAAAAGCAATAAGTTCTCAGCTTTCATAAAAAGGAAAGACAAAACGATCTCATGTCTCAGGATAAAAAATATAAGTTCTCGTGTCTTTGAAATACATGAATCAGGTCATATGTCGACGCCATTCCTTTTTGTTATTTTACTTTAATAAAGTTACATTCTTGCTGAAAAACATCTGAACTTTTGGGGTCATTAAATGCGCAACAGGCCCATAAACACTTTAAAAATGTTCAAAATTTCAAAGAAAAGACTTCAGTTGTTTCCTGAGACCTAATGCAGCATTCACACCAAACTCACCTTGAGCACCAAAGAAGCTGCTCTTTGCTTCTAATCTTTAATTGTTTATCCACATTAAGGTCAGTAAATTTTGTAGTAAAGAATCCGATATGTTTTGGGAGGAGCTACTGTCTTCTTTTTGCCAGTATCTTATACAATCACAAATTAATTTGAAAGCGTAGTTTAGCTTTATTGATTGATTGACTGATCTCACAGTGGAAAAATTGACTCATTTCATCTGCAAAAATAGTCAAAAGGAAAAAAAGATACATGGGGGTATATACAGTGCCTCCACATATGACAACCTAAGTCTTTTTAAAGCAGGATTATTATACAGGGTTATTGCACAAGGTATTTACATGGGTATTCATATAGATGGGTATTTATACGTACGGCTGCTGTATTGGTATCAAATATAGAGAAACAGGTTATTGCACAGGGTATTAAATTATAATTGCACATTACGTATTGCACAAGTTATTGCCATTGTAGTGTCCTATTGTAGAGTCTGGTTGCAGCAGGAATGAATGACTTGCGGTAGCGCTCCTTTATACAAACAGGGGGTAGAAGTCTTTCACTAAAGGAGCTGCTCAGCTCCTCTACAGTGTGGTGCAGAGGGTGGAAGGTGTTGTACATGATGGATGTAAGCTTGGACAGCATCCTCCTCTCAGCCACTTCCTCCACTGAGTTTAGAGTGCAGCCTAGGATAGAAACAGCCTTTCTCATCAGTTTGTTCAGTCTCTTTCTGTCCCACTCTGCGCTGCCGGGGCCCAGCAGATGACAGTATAGAGAAGGGCTGATGCCACCACAGAGTCATAGAAAGTATTAAGCAGGGGCCTGCTCACTCCAAAGGACCTCAGCCTCCTCAGGAGGTGGAGGCGGCTCTGTTCAGTCTTGTACTGGGTGTTGGTGCTATGAGTCCAGTCCAGTTTATTTTTGACGTGAACACCCAGGTATTTTTAAACTCTCCACAGTTTCTATGGCCTGCCCCTGGATGTTCATGCGGGAGTGAGGTGGGGGTCCTGAAGCTGATCATCATCTCCTTTGTCTTATTGGTGTGAAGTCACAGGTGGTTCTTCTCACACCAGTCCACAAAGTTCATGATGACGGATCGATATTCCAGCTCATTCCCTTCAGAAACACAACCTACAATGGCCGAGTCATCGGAGAACTTCCAGAGATGGCAGCTGTCCGTGTTGTAGGTGAGGTCTGAGGTGTAAAGGGTGAAGAGGAGCGGAGACAGAACAGTGCCCTGGGGGGCCCTGGTACTGCAGACTGCCATCTCTGATTGACAGCCGTGCAGCCACACATACTGAGGGCATTTGTTAGGTAGTTGATGTTCCAGGCAGCAAGGTGTTTGTCAACTCCAGTGTCCCCCAGCTTCCCCCTTAGCAGCTCTGGTCTGATGATGTTGAAAGTGCAGGAAAAGTCAAAGAACATGACTCACCACGCTCTTGGTTGTCTCCAGGTGGGTGAGTGCCATGGCTTCCTCCACTCTGATTGGTAAGCAAACTGCAGCAGGTCTGCAGTGATTTGACTAAATAAAGCTAGAGAATGCCATCATCGTGTGTCTTGTCTGGATTCACCAGATACTTTTTTTCAACACCTACCGGTACCCCAAGTCTGCAGAGAGGGTCTCTTGCAGAGCTGTTTTTGCCTCAGCTGAGCCTAACTTGACAACCTGTGACTCTGCATTGGTTCTCGCATATCCTACCAGGACACCAGCCTCACAGAGCAGAGCCTCAGTCTGATCGGTTGTTTTAGCAAATCGAACAGCAAAAGTTCAGATTTCCAATCAAGTGTCGACTGCTTTTGAAGTGTGTGAAGCGCCTCATGCTCATAACTTGCTGCTAGGACCGTCAACCTAAATGAATTTTTTTGGCTTATATCCTCCCCTGAGGAAAACTCTAAACTTAACATTGGTCGGTGTGAAACATAAAGCTAAGATAAGTGGATTTAATATAAATGTATTAAATATTAACTTAGAAATTTATCGTAAAAATGGCATCACCCTGGCCTGCGCCTTAAGTATGATACTCTTGTCTTGTTTATAAACACCCTTACAGCTCTACACTGCAAAAAATATAAATCTCAATAAGTTATTTTTTCTTAAAATAAGTGTGTTTTTCCTTGATTTGAGGAGGTAAGTAAGACACTTTGCCAATGGAACAAAACAATTTCCTTTTAAAATAAGAAAAAACTATTTTATCGTCTTATTTCAAGTAAATATTATCTAACTATCTTATTTTAAGAGTGAAAATACTCATTCCATTGGCAAATCATCTTATTTACCTGCTCAAATTAAGGCTAAATATACTTAATTTAAGCCATTTTTTACTTATTTCTGGATTGTTTTTGCAGTGTACTTATAGATTTTTTGGGGGAAAGAAATTAGGCCTTCACCAAAAATGGGATTTTCTTTACTTCAGTTTGCTTTATACCTTATTAGTCGCTATAAATTGGTCCATTTGGTTGCCCCGTTGTTGTTTAAACTTTAACATCTAGGCCAATGTCTAAAGATTTGTCTTCAATATTTCTGCACAATGATATTCTCTATTTGGTGATCTAGCTCAAAAACACCACAAAATGATTAATGATCCTCCTACTTGAGAGTCGGGATTATGTTTTTGCAGATTTTCCCCTTTTTCCTCCAGATGAAGGATTGTTGGAAATTCCCCAGGTGTTTAAATACCTGTTAATTATTGGTTTGAAAACATGAACTTTGTTCCTTCAGGCTTCTGATAGTGTACCCAAGAAAAACACCCACTATAAAGTCTATAGTTCTTCTGATATGTTGACTGGCTTCCTTTGATTTTTCCATGATGTGACTTAAGAATCATAGTAGCTGAGGTGTTGCTTTAAAATGCATTTACAGCTGACCTCCAGAACAATTAAATCATTATTTAGCTTTCACAAATAGTTTTAAAGCAGTGTTGGATTTTGAAGAAAGTCATTATCTCACTCATTATTCTGAGATTAAACTAATATAAATAATTTTTGATCACATATATGATACCTAAAACTATATAGTCAGATTTAATGCCATATTATTATTAAACTAAAGGTAATATCTCAGTTTTTTCAACTAATTTAAACCTCATTCTCTAGCTCCTACTATAATTTTTTGTTTGTTTTGAAATTAATTTAAAAAAGGTAAAGGACAAGAAAATCAAAAGCAAATAAATAAAAACAAGGAACTTTACATATTACTTATTTAGCATTGATGTATAGTTCGTGTTCTGCACAAAAACAGTGTGAGAGCATGAGAATAAACACAGCCTTCTTCTAAATCTAGTTTTGTGATTTTTAAATGGTTTAGCTTTGATGAATCACCACTTTCACATGACACCCACTGTTAGCTTTATGGAAATACTTAAGATGGATTAATTCATGAGCATTAATTGATTAAGCAGTCCGAAAAGTCATAACGTGATAAATGGTACCCCCTCTGAAATGAAGACACCATTTAGTTTTTGCAGTTTTCTGCTTTAATTCATCATAGTCACATTGATATGACATGGATGGTTTGAAACACAGCTGGTCTCTTGCCTCGTTTCCCATTTTTCATCAGCATTCATCGTTCATTTCTCTCCATTAGTTGACTTTCAAATGAGGCGGACTTAGGTGGGAGCTACTTTATGTGTTTTTCATAGAAAAATTCCTTTGATTTTCACAAAAAAAAATCAACAAAAAACAAAAATAAACACGACAATAAAAAATCTCAAAAATGTCAAGCTTTGGAAACCAACCATAGTTTAATATATATATTTTTTTTTTATTCCAAAAAGGTATTAATATTACAATCGTGTAACTTAAAAGTCGGCTGGAAAAC